TTCTTGGTCCTTTTGTTTCACAAACAACCTACTTATTTAATGTAAGTACACCGTTAAGCTTAGTGTTTAGTAAAAATGCCAACAACTTCAGCGTCCCTGCGACAAATATATTGGTTGTCGACATTTGAGGTTTATTTTTGCAGAAGACATCGTAGGTTCAATGGTTGTATTATTAATACAGCTGTCAACTTCATCCGATTTTCTTGTTGCGTCATCTTCTTTAATGCGATCTAAATTATATACGGAGCAATATTTGCCGCAATGAGTGTACAATCGTTTAAATCCGCCTGCCTCATACATTAAGGGCTGTAGTCAACCGAGTTCAACAGTTAGTTCGAATGTTTGGACGGATTAACTTTGACAGTTCTGAGAATGGCATTCGGCGTAGCGAACCCATGCATTCAACCGACACCTGACGAAAGCCAACTTTTGTGGATGTTAGATAACGACCCTCCCGATTGTGCTCGAGAGCGTAGGTGCTATAGGTGTAGTTTTATTTTACTCACCTGTTTTTTAAGTAGGTTTGGCTTCCAAAGACAAATATCACGGTCAAAATGGAGACCCCAGCTACTGGCAACGAATGGGAATAAGTTGAAGAACACTACTGACAAAGACAGGGGAGATTTTGATGGCTATTTTTGGCTTATTAGCCGTCATCAGCTGGCAGTACCTATCGCCATGTTTTACAACCCCCGAGGCTCTCACCCTCAAGCTGTCGATCAGAAACTAGATGTTCTCATTATTGATCCACGGTCTCGTTGTCCTGTCAACTGCGATGGGGGCATAGGAACAATGACAGTGCGAGGCTCACCGATTGCTTGGTCGTCTAATTAACGCATGAACCGGTACACTCATCGCATGCCGATGTAATTACCAATTACTAGCCTTGTAATTACCGCGGACGAAAGTATAATAATCCCGCGCCAGCGCAATTCTCGAGTTCGTAGTCAGTTTATACGGCGGCAACAACAATCCTGCAAGAAGTAGGGTGACCAGTGCTGTCTGCCCCAGTAATGTGATTTCACCTGCTCTTTGGTCTTCGGCAACTGACGGTAGGTCAACATACCCGAAACGCCAGATATCCACTATATTTGTTCTTGTGATTTCGTTTGAGTACTGCTGAAAGCCCACCTTATGTGTGCATATTCTAAAGTTCAATGTAAATGGAACCTATGGAGGTCTTTAGAAGCTTTCTCCTTTCAGTAGAGACAATGTGAATGCCCTATCACTGGACGCAGTCGGCTGCACAGCAATCCCTCGTAGACGCGACGATGTGCTGCTGCGCTCTGCCAGTGGCCGGATCGAACTGCAGAAACAGCCATGCTTCTCTGGCGATGGCGAATATGAACCAGCTAGTCTCGTCACCCTGCCAGCTCTCCGACAAACCCTCGATGTCAACCAGGCCGCCCGCAGAAGACGGACACTGGAAATGCAAAAGAAACGCTTGGCACATTCGCGAAACCCTTATCTCTCCTAGTATTATACGTTGGTACTTCTGTGGCTACTGAAATATGTATGAATTGTAGTAATTTTAAGTCTACGAAGGTGTACTGCGTCTTTGAAATCGAAGAGAAGGGCGAATTACTATGTCGAAGAGTTCCGGTTATAGTTGCAAAGACTTATTTTCCTAGAACCGTATCTTCTCAGCTCTGGGCATTTGTCATACCGAGTGTGCCTTTGACTCTACCTTTCGAATGCATAATCTTGTTCGAGACTCGAACTGCCTCTTTCCTTCCTTATGCTTCGTGCTCCCTATTTTATTCATCGCGAAAACTCCCTTCTACTGTCTTCTTTGTGACCTAACCTCCTTATTTCTTGGTTGCAGGTTAAGTTATCCCATAGACGGTAATAATATTTATTTTTTCTGGAGCTAGTTCTTCGACTTCTTCTCGGTGCGGAATAAACTGTTGCAGTACTCTGATTATTCTTTACCTTGTCGCCTGGTTTTTTGTCAATTACAGCCTACAGTTATGCATTCAGAAAAACTACATTCTCGATTCTCAGCGCAGATTACCAGCTAAGATTAGTCTCGTCTTGATCGAAGGCTAATGCCGTTTCTTGGCCAGAGTCTCGCAAGTTATAATAAAACACTAAACCAATTGAATGTCTAGTTTTTCTGTTCAGTACACCAGTGCAATCAGATCATATTTGGAGGCTGGTCTTTGAGTGTGTCTCTAGCGATAGCGTAACCTCTGCAGATGGATGTAGGATACGCAGTAATCCGGCCGGATAATAGATGATGGACGTAGCCCAACGGTTATAAACTAGTTAATAAGATAAGGCCAAAGTTTTATTAATCACTTGTGTTGAAAGAGTGGAGTTTGAGTAATGGATAATTGGCTCCCGAACAGGTGAAGCCCAACCCTGAGGGGGGTGGGTTCACAGTCGCAATCTGGCAGTGAGGTTGCCGGGTCCGAGAGTTTCTGAGTGTAGGCAATCACCGTAATAAGGTCCTTTGTGAACTGGCCTTGGAAAGTGATTAGCCATTTAGGATAGACAGAGGGTTAACACACGTCCATGACTTTAACCTGCCTCTGACACGCTCTGGTGTGCACGTGCTTATTGGACGCCAGTGAGAGACATGTAAAACATGCCCCAGAGGCGTGCAAGGAAACCATGGCTTCGAATACAAGGTCACTACATAGATACCAAAAACGCCTGACAAATCTTACCAATGCTTTAATTGCCAAAGCTAAGGCAGCGCCCGAATAGGCTTGGCAGAACTTCTCGTCACAGCAATTCACGAAGCTTTCAAAGAATCCTGATCACAGCCTTCGAGCCCGTCGCCAACGCCGCCATACGTTCATTGTTAGGGTAGAACTCCGGTAAAATTCACATCTTCAAGAATAACACAATAGGACGAACTACTTCTATTACCTCTAGTCATCTAAAAGAGGGACTATAATTCAAGTCAAAAGAAAATTGCTTTGGGAGAAGGCACTCAGTCTGACAACCTAAATAATATCAAAATGCCCGCGTTCGTGGCTTCTATGAACACCAGTGCTGGCTGCCTTGAAATATACTATGCCAACTGTCAGCGTTTCTTCATAAAACTATATTAGCTCAAACCAATAGCCTCTGCGCAGAAATATCCCATAATTGTGTTGACAAAGGCTAGGTTGACTGAAGAAATAGAGAAAAGTCAGAAAAGTCATTGAGTCAGTTAATGTCATCCCGCTTCTG